GGTGGAGGGTTATGGGTGAGGTTTAGGGTGGAGGGTTGGCGATTGAGGTTTCAGGGTTAAGGATTCGGGGGGTTAAGATTCAGGGTTGGGATTGAGGTTTAGGTTTCAGGGTTAGGATTCAGGGCTACGATTCAGGGTTAGGATTCAGGGTTAGGATTGAGGGGTAGGATTCAGGGTTAGGATTCAGGGTTAGGATTCCGGGTTAGGATTCAGGGTTAGGATTCAGGGTTAGGATTCCGGGTTAGGATTCAGGGTTAGGATTGAGGGTTAGGATTCAGGGTTAGGATTCAGGGCTAGGATTCAGGGCTAGGATTCAGGGTTAGGATTGAGGGTTAGGATTCCGGGTTAGGATTCAGGGTTAGGATTGAGGGTTAGGATTCAGGGTTAGGATTCCGGGTTAGGATTCAGGATTAGGATTCAGGATTAGGATTCAGGGTTAGGATTCAGGGTTAGGATTCAGGGTTAGGATTGAGGGCTAGGATTCAGGGTTAGGATTCAGGGTTAGGATTCAGGGCTAGGATTCAGGGCTAGGATTCAGGGTTAGGATTCAGGATTAGGATTCAGGGTTAGAATACAGGGTTAGGATTCAGGGTTAGGATTCAGGGTTAGGATCCAGGGCTAGGATTCAGGATTGAGGGTTAGGGTTGAGAGTTAGATTGATGGAGTGAGGGTTATGGTTAATGGATATGATAGAGGGTTAGGACTGAGGGTTAGAATTCAGGGTTAGGATTGAGAGTTAAATTGTAGGATTGAGGGTTTGTGTTGAGGGTTAGGATTGAGGGTTAGGATTGATGGTTAGGATTGAGTGTTAAGATTGAGGGTTAGGGTTGAGTGTTAGGATTGAGTGTTAGGGTTGAGGGTTAGGATTGAGGATTAGGATTGAGGGTTAGGATTAAGGGGTAGGATTGAGGGTTGGGATTGAGGGTTAGGGTTGAGTGTTAGGATTGAGGGTTGGGATCGAGGGTTAAGATTGAGGGTTAGGGTTGAGTGTTAGGGTTGAGGGTTAAGATTGAGGGTTGGGATTGAGGGTTAGGATTTAGTGTTATGATTGAGAGTTAGGATTGAGGATTAGGATTGAGGGTTGAGAGTTAGGGTTGAGGGTTAGGATTGAGGGTTAGGATTGATGGTTAGGATTGAGTGTTAAGATTGAGGGTTAGGGTTGATGGTTAGGATTGAGGGTTAGGATTGATGGTTAGGATTGAGTGTTAAGATTGAGGGTTAGGGTTGAGTGTTAGGATTGAGGGTTAGGATTGAGGGTTAGGATTGAGGGGTAGGATTGAGGGTTGGGATTGAGGGTTAGGGTTGAGTGTTAGGATTGAGGGTTGGGATTGAGGGTTAAGATTGAGGGTTAGGGTTGTGGGTTAGGATTGAGGGTTAGGATTGAGTGTTAGGATTGAGGGTTAGGATTGAGTGTTATGATTGAGAGTTAGGATTGAGGATTAGGATTGAGGGTTGAGAGTTAGGGTTGAGGGTTAGGATTGAGGGTTAGGATTGATGGTTAGGATTGAGTGTTAAGATTGAGGGTTAGGGTTGATGGTTAGGATTGAGGGTTAGGATTGATGGTTAGGATTGAGTGTTAAGATTGAGGGTTAGGGTTGAGTGTTAGGATTGAGGGTTAGGATTGAGGGTTAGGATTGAGGGGTAGGATTGAGGGTTGGGATTGAGGGTTAGGGTTGAGTGTTAGGATTGAGGGTTGGGATTGAGGGTTAAGATTGAGGGTTAGGGTTGAGGGTTAGGATTGAGGGTTAGGATTGAGTGTTAGGATTGAGGGTTAGGATTGAGTGTTATGATTGAGAGTTAGGATTGAGGATTAGGATTGAGGGTTGAGAGTTAGGGTTGAGGGTTAGGATTGAGGGTTAGGATTTAGGGTTAGGGTTGAGTGTTATGATTGAGGGTTCGTGTTAAGGGTTAGGATTTAGGGTTAGGGTTGAGGGTTAGGATTGAGAGTTAGGGTTGAGGGTTGGGATTGAGGGTTAGGATTGAGAGTTAGGATTGAGGGTTACGATTGAGGGTTATGATTGAGGGTTATGATTGAGGGTTGAGAGTTGGTGTTGAGGGGTAGGGTTGAGGGTTAGGATTGAGGGTTAGGATTGAGGGTTAGGATTGAGGGGTAGAATTGAGGGTTGGGATTGAGGGTTAGGGTTGAGTGTTAGGATTGAGGGTTGGGATTGAGTGTTAAGATTGAGGGTTAGGGTTGAGGGTTAGGATTGAGGGTTAGGGTTGAGGGTTAGGATTGAGGGTTAGGATTGAGTGTTAGGATTGAGGGTTAGGATTGAGTGTTATGATTGAGAGTTAGGATTGAGGATTAGGATTGAGGGTTGAGAGTTAGGGTTGAAGGTTAGGATTGAGGGTTAGGATTTAGGGTTAGGGTTGAGGGTTAGGGTTGAGGGTTGGGATTGAGGGTTAGGATTGAGAGTTAGGATTGAGGGTTACGATTGAGGGTTATGATTGAGGGTTATGATTGAGGGTTGAGAGATGGTGTTGAGGGGTAGGGTTGAGGGTTAGGATTGAGGGTTAGGATTGAGGGTTGAGAGTTGGGGTTTGGGGTTGGTGTTGGGAGGTGGTGTTGAGGGTTAGGATTGAGGGTTAGGATTGAGTGTTGAGAGTTGGGGTTTGGGGTTGGTGTTGGGAGGTGGTGTTGAGGGGTAGGGTTAGGATTGAGGGTTAGGATTGAGTGTTGAGAGTTGGGGTTTGGGGTTGGTGTTGAGAGTTGGGGTTTAGGGTTAGGATTAGGATTGAGGGTTGGGATTGAGGGTTAGGGTTGAGTGTTAGGATTGAGGGTTGGGATTGAGGGTTAAGATTGAGGGTTAGGGTTGAGGGTTAGGATTGAGGGTTAGGATTGAGTGTTAGGATTGAGGGTTAGGATTGAGTGTTATGATTGAGAGTTAGGATTGAGGATTAGGATTGAGGGTTGAGAGTTAGGGTTGAGGGTTAGGATTGAGGGTTAGGATTTAGGGTTAGGGTTGAGTGTTATGATTGAGGGTTCGTGTTAAGGGTTAGGATTTAGGGTTAGGGTTGAGGGTTATGATTGAGGGTTGAGAGTTGGTGTTGAGGGATAGGGTTGAGGGTTAGGATTGAGGGTTAGGATTGAGGGTTAGAATTGAGGGGTAGGATTGAGGGTTGGGATTGAGGGTTAGGGTTGAGTGTTAGGATTGAGGGTTGGGATTGAGGGTTAAGATTGAGGGTTAGGGTTGAGGGTTAGGATTGAGGGTTAGGATTGAGTGTTAGGATTGAGGGTTAGGATTGAGTGTTATGATTGAGAGTTAGGATTGAGGATTAGGATTGAGGGTTGAGAGTTAGGGTTGAAGGTTAGGATTGAGGGTTAGGATTTAGGGTTAGGGTTGAGGGTTAGGGTTGAGGGTTGGGATTGAGGGTTAGGATTGAGAGTTAGGATTGAGGGTTACGATTGAGGGTTATGATTGAGGGTTATGATTGAGGGTTGAGAGATGGTGTTGAGGGGTAGGGTTGAGGGTTAGGATTGAGGGTTAGGATTGAGGGTTGAGAGTTGGGGTTTGGGGTTGGTGTTGGGAGGTGGTGTTGAGGGTTAGGATTGAGGGTTAGGATTGAGGGTTAGGATTGAGTGTTGAGAGTTGGGGTTTGGGGTTGGTGTTGGGAGGTGGTGTTGAGGGGTAGGGTTAGGATTGAGGGTTAGGATTGAGTGTTGAGAGTTGGGGTTTGGGGTTGGTGTTGAGAGTTGGGGTTTAGGGTTAGGATTAGGATTGAGGGTTGGGATTGAGGGTTAGGATTGAGGGTTAGGATTGAGTGTTGAGAGTTGGGGTTTGGGGTTGGTGTTGAGGGGTGGTGTTGAGGGTTAGGATTGAGGGTTAGGATTGAGTGTTGAGAGTTGGGGTTTAGGGTTGGTGTTAGGAGGTGGTGTTGAGGGGTAGGGTTAGGATTGAGGGTTAGGATTGAGTGTTGAGAGTTGGGGTTTGGGGTTGGTGTTGAGAGGGGGTGTTGAGGGGTAGGGTTGAGGGTTAGGATTGAGGGTTAGGGTTGAGGGTTAGGATTTAGGGTTAGGGTTGAGGGTTAGGATTGAGAGTTAGGGTTGAGGGTTGGGATTGAGGGTTAGGATTGAGGGGTAGGGTTGAGGGTTGGGATTGAGGGTTAGGGTTGAGGGTTAGGGCTGAGGGTTAGGATTGAGAGTTAGTATTGAGGGTTACGATTGAGGGTTATGATTGAGGGTTATGATTGAGGGTTGAGAGTTGGTGTTGAGGGTTAGGATTGAGTGTTGAGAGTTGGGGTTTGGGGTTGGGGTTGAGGGTGTGGCTGTGATACGAATCTCACGGCGAGATAAGAGATCAGAGACGGGGGAGGTGGGGGGAGGAGGGGGGGGGGAGGTGGGGGGAGGAGGAGGGGGAGGAGGGGGGAGGGGTGGAGCTGCCTCCTTTAAATATCAGAGGTAGGGACACGCAGAGACACACAGAGAGAGACACACACAGAGACACACACATAGAGAGACACACACAGAGACACACACACACAGAGACACACACAGAGAGACACACACAGAGAGACACACATAGAGAGACACACACATAGAGAGACACACACAGAGACACACACGTAGAGACACACACAGAGAGACACACACACAGAGACACACACTCAGAGACACACACACAGAGACACACACACAGACACACACAGACACACACACAGACACACACACAGACACACACACACACAGACACAGAGACACACACACAGACACACACAGAGACACACACACAGACACACACACAAACACACACAGAGACACACAGACACACACACACAGACACAGAGACACACAGACACACACAGAGACACACACACAGACACACACAGAGACACACACACACACAGACACACACAGACACACACACAGACACACACAAACAGACACACACACAGACACATGATGACGATGATGATGATGACGGTGATGACGGTGGTGGTGGTGGTGTCAACGCAAGAGTTATCTCATCCCAACAACCACCACCACCACCACCTCCCCCTTGACGTCAGCGGCAGCAGCAGCAGCAGCGTTGACAGCGGCAGCAGCAGCAGCAGCAGCGAGGAGACGCTGACGATGATGACGGTGATGATGGTGGCGCCGGTGGGGAATGAAACCGCGGAGCGTGGAGGAGGTGAGAGAGGAGGTGGACTAGGAGGCGAGGCCGATGATGCTGGCGACGGTGGCCATGGCGACGGTGGCCATGGTGATGGAGGCGACGGTGGCCATGGCGACCGTGGCCATGGCGACAGAGGCGACGGTGGCCATGGCGACAGTGGCCATGGTGATGGAGGCGACGGTGGCCATGGCGACGGTGGCCATGGCGACGGTGGCCATGGCGACGGTGGCGAGGGTGGCCATGGCGACGGTGGCCATGGTGATGGAGGCGACGGTGGCCATGGCGACCGTGGCCATGGCGACAGAGGCGACGGTGGCCATGGCGACGGTGGCCATGGTGATGGAGGCTACGGTGGCCATGGCGACGGTGGCCATGGCGACAGAGGCGATGGTGGCCATGGCGACGGTGGCCATGGCGACGGAGGCGACGGTGGCCATGGCGACGGTAGCCATGGCGACGGTGGCCATAGCGACGCTGGCCATGGCGACGATAGCCATGGTGATGGAGGCGAGGGTGGCCATGGCGACGGTGGCCATGGCGACGACGGAGAGACGTCTCCTCGTGCCTCCGCTTGCCTCCCGATCCCGAGGGACCTAACGCTCTGCAGGGGCCTCCCGTACGGCCTCATGAGGCTTCCCAACCTCCTGCAGCACGACACCCTGGGCGAGGTACAGCACCAACAGTAGCTGTAGTAGTAGCTGTAGTGGTAGCTGTAGTAGCTGTAGCTGTAGTAGTAGTAGCTGTAGTAGTAGTAGCTGTAGTAGTAGCTGTAGTAGTAGTAGCTGTAGTAGTAGTGGCTGTAGTAGTAGTAGCTGTAGTAGTAGTAGTAGCTGTAGTAGTAGTAGCTGTAGTAGTAGTAGCTGTAGTAGCTGTAGTAGTAGTAGCTGTAGTAGTAGTAGCTGTAGTAGTAGTAGCTGTAGTAGTAGTAGCTGTAGTAGTAGCTGTAGTAGTAGCAGTAGTAGTAGCTGTAGTAGTAGCTGTAGTAGTAGTAGTAGCTGTAGTAGTAGTAGCTGTAGAAGTAGTAGCTGTAGTAGTAGCTGTAGTAGTAGTAGCTGTAGTAGTAGCTGTAGTAGTAGCAGTAGCTGTAGTAGTAGCTGTAGTAGTAGTAGCAGTAGAAGTAGTAGCTGTAGTAGTAGTAGCAGTAGTGGTAGTAGCTGTAGTGGTAGTAGCTGTAGTAGTAGTAGCTGTAGTAGCAGTAGTAGCTGTAGTAGTAGTAGCTGTAGTAGTAGTAGCTGTAGTAGTAGCAGCAGCGGCAGTAGCATTAGTAGTAGTAGCTGTAGTAGTAGTAGTAGCTGTAGTAGTAGTAGCTGTAGCAGTAGTAGTAGCTGTAGTAGTAGTAGCTGTAGTAGTAGCTGTAGTAGTAGTAGCTGTAGTAGTAGTAGTAGCTGTAGTAGTAGTAGCTGTAGCAGTAGTAGTAGCTGTAGTAATAGTAGCAGTAGCAGCTGTAGTAGTAGTAGCTGTAGTAGCTGTAGTAGTAGTAGCTGTAGTAGTAGCTGTAGTAGTAGTAGCTGTAGTAGTAGTAGCTGTAGTAGTAGCTGTAGTAGTAGCAGTAGTAGTAGCTGTAGTAGTAGCTGTAGTAGTAGTAGCTGTAGAAGTAGTAGCTGTAGTAGTAGCTGTAGTAGTAGTAGCTGTAGCAGTAGCTGTAGTAGTAGCTGTAGTAGTAGTAGCAGTAGTAGTAGTAGCAGCTGTAGTAGTAGCAGTAGTAGCAGTAGTAGTAGTAGCAGTAGTAGCTGTAGTAGTAGCTGTAGTAGTAGTAGCTGTAGTAGTAGCTGTAGTAGTAGTAGCTGTAGTAGTAGTAGCAGTAGTAGTAGTAGCTGTAGTAGTAGCAGTAGTAGCAGTAGTAGTAGCTGTAGTAGTAGTAGCAGTAGTAGTAGCTGTAGTAGTAGCAGTAGTAGCAGTAGTAGTAGCTGTAGTAGTAGTAGCTGTAGTAGTAGTAGCTGTAGTAGTAGTAGCAGTAGTAGTAGTAGCTGTAGTAGTAGCAGTAGTAGCAGTAGCAGTAGTAGCTGTAGTAGTAGTAGTAGCTGTAGTAGTAGTAGCTGTAGTAGTAGCAGCAGCAGTAGTAGCTGTAGTAGTAGCAGTAGTAGTAGCAGTAGCTGTAGTAGTAGTAGCAGTAGTAGTAGCAGTAGCTGTAGTAGTAGTAGCTGTAGTAGTAGTAGTAGCTGTAGTAGTAGTAGTAGTAGCTGCAGTAGTAGTAGTAGTAGCTGCAGTAGTAGTAGCAGTAGCTGTAGTAGTAGCTGTAGTAGTAGTAGCTGTAGTAGTAGCTGTAGAAGTAGCTGTAGTAGTAGCAGCAGTAGCTATAGTAGTAGTAGCTGTAGTAGTAGTAGCTGTAGTAGTAGTAGCTGTAGTAGTAGCTGTAGTAGTAGGTGTAGTAGTAGCAGCAGCAGTAGTAGTAGCTGTAGTAGCAGCTGTAGTAGTAGCTGTAGTATTTGTAGTAGTAGCTGTAGTAGTAGCTGTAGCTGTAGTAGTAGTAGGTGTAGTAGGAGTGGCTGTAGTAGCTGTAGTAGTAGTAGCTGCAGTAGTAGCAGTAGTAGTAGCAGTAGCTTTAGCAGTAGTAGTAGCAGCAGCAGGAGCAGCAGTAGTAGTAGTAGCAGTAGTAGTAGCTTTAGCTGTAGTAGTAGTAGCAGCAGTAGTAGCAGCAGTAGTATTAGCATCACTACAGCTACTGCTACAGCTACCACTACTCTAGCTACTACTACTACTACAGCTACTACTACAGCTACTACTACTACAGCTACTACTGCTACAGCTACTACTACAGCTACTACTACTACAGCTACTACTACAGCTACTAATACTACAGCTACTACTACAGCTACCACTACTCTAGCTGCTACCACTACTCTAGCTACTACTACTACTACAGCTACTACTACAGCTACGACTACTACAGCTACTACTACAGCTACTACTACTACAGCTACTACTACAGCTACTACTACTACAGCTACTACAGCTACTACTACTACAGCTACTACTACCACAGCTACTACTACTACAGCTACTACTACTGCTACTACTACTGCTGCTACTACTACTACAGCTACTACTAGTGCTACTACAGCTACTACTACTACAGCTACTGCTGCTGCTACTGCTACAGCTACTACTACAGCTACTACTACTACTGCTGCTGCTACTACTACAGCTACTACTACTACAGCTACTACTACTGCTGCTGCTATTACTACTACTGCTACAGCTACTACTACTACAGCTACTACTACTACAGCTACTACTACTGCTACTACTACTACAGCTACTGCTACAGCTACTGCTACTTCTGCTACTATTACAGCTACTACAGCTACTACTACTACAGCTACTACTATAGCTACTGCTGCTACTATAGCTTCTACTGCTACTACTACTGCTACAGCTACTACTACTGCTACTACTGCTGCTACTACTACTACAGCTACTACTACTACAGCTGCTACTACTACTACAGCTACTACTACAGCTACTACTACTACTGCTACAGCTACTGCTACAGCTACTACTACAGCTACTACTACAACAGCTACTACTACTACAGCTACTACTACAGCTACTACTACTACTACAGCTACTACTACAGCTACTGCTGCTACTGCTGCAGCTACTGCTACAACTACTACTACAGCTACTACAGCTACTACTACAACAGCTACTACTACTACAGCTACTACTACTACTACAGCTACTACTACTACAGCTACTACTACTACAGCTACTACTACTACTGCTACAGCTACTACTGCTACTACTACTACTACTACAGCTACTACTACTACAGCTACTACTACTGCTACAGCTACTACTGCTACTACTACTGCTACTACTACAACAGCTACTACTACTACAGCTACTACTACTACTACAGCTACTACTACTACTACAGCTACTGCTGCTGCTACTGCTACAGCTACTACTACAGCTACTACTACTACTGCTGCTACTACTACAGCTACTACTACTACAGCTACTACTACTACTGCTGCTGCTACTACTACTACTGCTACAGCTACTACTACTACAGCTACTACTACTACAGCTACTACTACTGCTACTACTACTACAGCTACTGCTACAGCTACTGCTACTTCTGCTACTACTACAGCTACTACAGCTACTACTACTACTACAGCTACTACTATAGCTACTGCTGCTACTACAGCTTCTACTGCTACTACTATTGCTACAGCTACTACTACTGCTACTACTGCTGCTACTACTACTACAGCTACTACTACTACAGCTGCTACTACTACTACAGCTACTACTACAGCTACTACTACTACTGCTACAGCTACTACTACTACTGCTACAGCTACTGCTACAGCTACTACTACAGCTACTACTACAGCTACTACAGCTACTACTACAACAGCTACTACTACTACAGCTACTACTACAGCTACTACTACTACAGCTACTACTACTACAGCTACTACTACTGCTACAGCTACTACTGCTACAGCTACTACAGCTACTACTACTACAGCTACTACAGCTACTACTACTCCTACAGCTACTACTACTCCTGCTACAGCTACTGCTACAGCTACTACTACTGCTACAGCTACTACAGCTACTACTACTACTACAGCTACTACTACTACAGCTGCTACTACTACAGCTACTACTACAGCTACTGTACAGCTACTACTACTACTGCTAGTACTACAGCTACAGCTACTACTACAGCTACTACTACTACTGCTGCTGCTACTACTACAGCTACTACTACTACAGCTACTACTACTGCTGCTGCTATTACTACTACTGCTACAGCTACTACTACTACTACAGCTACTACTACTGCTACTACTACTACAGCTACTGCTACAGCTACTGCTACTTCTGCTACTATTACAGCTACTACAGCTACTACTACTACAGCTACTACTATAGCTACTGCTGCTACTATAGCTTCTACTGCTACTACTACTGCTACAGCTACTACTACTGCTACTACTGCTGCTACTACTACTACAGCTACTACTACTACAGCTGCTACTACTACTACAGCTACTACTACAGCTACTACTACTACTGCTACAGCTACTGCTACAGCTACTACTACAGCTACTACTACAACAGCTACTACTACTACAGCTACTAGTACAGCTACTACTACTACTACAGCTACTACTACAGCTACTGCTGCTACTGCTGCAGCTACTGCTACAACTACTACTACAGCTACTACAGCTACTACTACAACAGCTACTACTACTACAGCTACTACTACTACTACAGCTACTACTACTACAGCTACTACTACTACAGCTACTACTACTACTGCTACAGCTACTACTGCTACTACTACTGCTACTACTACTACAGCTACTACTACTACAGCTACTACTACTGCTACAGCTACTACTGCTACTACTACTGCTACTACTACAACAGCTACTACTACTACAGCTACTACTACTACTACAGCTACTACTACTACTACTACAGCTACTACTGCTACAGCTACTACTGCTACTACTACTGCTACTACTACTACAGCTACTACTACTACAGCTACTGCTGCTGCTACTGCTACAGCTACTACTACAGCTACTACTACTACTGCTGCTACTACTACAGCTACTACTACAGCTACTACTACTACTGCTGCTGCTACTACTACTACTGCTACAGCTACTACTACTACAGCTACTACTACTACAGC